AATTCTCGCTTTTAGTCTGGCGTTTCAAGATCAAGAGAAGTCCTCTTGATCGGTGATAGAATATTTCCAGTTTCTTTCATCAGCTTTTAGGAAGAAGGAAAAAATTCTTGAGATAAAACTCGGATGATGACATGGAAGAGCCATATGCCCTTTTTGTTGTTTTTCTGCAATTACGAGACCGTTTTTTTCTGTGTACATACTTTATGCTACTTTGCCCATTTCTTTGTGTTATTGTACAAGATCATTTTTTCTTCTCTAAAAATCTGTTCCAAATAGAATTTTAAAATGGCAGCGAAGAATAAATGTTCTTCCTAACAATGTTTACCTCTTTCTCCTTGAGGTATTTGTCTTTTTTTTCCCCTCATCGCACAAATAGGATCATATAATGTAAGATAAAGCGTCAAATTGCTGCGCAAAATTTGCATAGTTTCTACTAGCTTTCATCGATTTTTTCAGAAGATCATCTATAAAACATAAGAAAAGCCTGCCAAATGCGACATCGACTGTTCTTTCTTTCGGTATTGTAATGCTTATCAAAAGTTTATGTATTGAGAATTGTCCAACCTGAAATTAAATCGTTATTAAGTTGTAATAATTTTAGTGGCAGAATTCGCATATTGCCAAATTGGAGGGTATAAAGAGTGTAACGATAAATTGTAAATAACTGGCAAAAAGAATAATAATGAGAGGAGAAAAGGAATTATACTATTTTCTTTGGATTGTCAGTCGTTTGATGTTTTGTTACTGAAATCTCGATGAAATATGTATCTTTCCATGGTAACATCTGTCCATTTTTCGATTGTTGTTCTGTTCACAGCTCGCATTTGAGCATAAATGGGAAAGAAAATATTCGATTTCGAGACCACATAGATAGCAACAATGATTTGATCGAATGGTAAATTATATAAATATTTTAAAATGAAATTTATTCCACATATATCTGAAGAAGGGTTGCGCCAAAGTTTATTTTGTTTTTTGTACGAAGTTTATTTTCACGAAATATCACAAAACAAAACGTCACAAAATGTCCTCAGATCATCTTTAGTATTGCGCAACTGTAACGGTAAATAATTTTCTTTCAACTTAGATTTTTTTTTCATTCTCTTTTCATTCCACCTTCTAAGAATTTAAATCTTCATTTTAAATTTTCATTAAAGATTTTGCCAGTGCACCAAAAAGTGAATATTTACTTTTATTCGTTAAAAATTACGAAAATTATGCATACACCTATCAATACAACTTTGTTCTTGAATTTGTTCGATGTCTATATATATATATATATATATGTTTTTACTTATATTTGTAGAAGATACAAATAAATTTTAATTTAATTTTATTTTTGATGTTTATTAAAAGGTTTTGAAACCTTTTATATTTTTAATATTTTTCTTTTTGGATAAGTTGTTTATATTAAAGTTTTTTTTGTAATGGTCATTTTTATTAAACTTAAAAAATATTGGTTATTTATTTAAGGTTTTAATAAAGTCAGCAGTTCTGTAATTGCTTGTTTTTCTTCTAAGCATTACTGATTAGATTGCATCCGCTGGCTAAAGGGTAGGATATCTCCAGGCTGTTCGATTCGGTGCCATCGTCGACAGTATAGAAACCATTCTTTTTTTAATCGTACAAATTTATATTTTGCTGGTATACCTGTACAAATTTCTTTTTCAAATTTTTGCATGGCTGTATCAGTCCGAGTCTTGATTGGCCTTAACTTTTGATCCATTACACCATCCATTCCTGGATTCAATTAATGAAAAATTAATGGTTCAAATTAATTAATGGCTTCAAATATCAGCAACCACCGTCACTTGTTTCATCAATTTTGCAATTGCTTTCGATTCAACTGATACCGCAGCTCCTCTGTGCGAAAAATGTCTTAACCAGCGGAGGCAATGATATGTGCAGATATCTGAGCGAAAATGGATGCGACCATGTGAGATTTTGTCTTAAAATATCCATAAAATATCCTAGACATAAAATATAAAATATCCTAATAAAATATCCTAGACATGAGTGGTCAAAAGCAGATAATTCTTCCATAAAATATCCTAGACATGAGTGGTCAAAAGCAGATAATTCTTAATTTCTTTACTCTCATCGGCCATGTCTGGTAGTCGTATAGCAAGATCAAGCCATATAGACACAAGCTTTCGTTGATTTTGCGACGGATCCACAAAGAGGACGCATTCAGAAGAACACATGTTTGGCTAAGGCTATTTCGATTATGAATTCGTCTTTCGCCTGACAATTTAGGGGTTAAGTCCAAGATATTTAAAGTCTGACACTTCTTTAATCGCATTTGACACTTGGTTTAGTAAAAGTAGGTATATTATTAGTTTATTATGTGTAATATGAAAAGGCTTTCACTTTATTTGCATTGATCCTGAGTACGATTGTCGCTGGAATTGTCGACACATCGTTTAGCATTATTTGCATTTCATCATAATTATCAAAAAAGCTACAACATCAAGACATTCAAGATCATTTGATACGGTGCTCTAATATTCTCCGTAATGCCCACAAGCGATGTCCATTATTCAGTCTATATAATTGAATATTGAATATTGAATATTGAATATTGAATTGAATATTGTTATATAATTGAATATAGTGGACGTAAACTTGGCGAATACCAGTTCTTATTTCGAAAGAGCTTGTCTTTTATAAAGCTGTGCCGATTTACGCTGATAAAATGCCTTTATGAGTCGAATATTCTTTGTGTACCATCATATTCCATCATTTTCCAAAGATACGGTATCAATTGAATCGAAAGCAATTGCAAAATTGATGAAACAAGTGACGGTGGTTGCTGATATTTGAAGCGGTAACGTGAATGTCTGGTGCAAGTGCATCCCGATCTGAATCTAGCTTGGTTAGAATAAATCTCATAAATCTATTCAGGAGAAAAGCAAAAATTTTCTGCGAGATTTCTATTACGCTGACCTCGATAATTCTCACATTATGTCCTGTCGCCTTAGAAATTGGGAGCAGAATTAACTTGCTGCAATCATCTGATGTTCTTCCATACCAGAGATATTTGTTAAGGATGTGGTATGAAGGATATTTGATGAGTTTGGTCCATGAGATCATCTTTTCCTGGAGTTTTATTAGTCTTAAACTTATGGATGACAGAGATTTTCTATTCTGCTGATAATTCGCAAACATATTCGGCGAACGAATCAGCTATATCCAATGGTAAAGATGGCGCATCGTAGCTTGGTTTCAATTCCTTTCATCTTGTGATGTACTCTCTAATTGCCTCAACTTGCCCGCCATTACTATCCTATATCATTTTATTAACTGTTCCCCAAGTTACTGCTTTATGGAGAGGACGGAAAAATATGGAAATATGCCTTTAGTTGGGACCAATATTCATCTTTCGCTCCAGAGATGTCATTGACATTCATTTCATTAAAAAGTTTCAATAATTCTATTTATTGTTCCCAGTTATTTTAGATTAAGATAGTTGAAGGATCTTGTGATACGTTATTTGATTCATGAAAATTACCAGTTTCAGCGCCCCGATAAGAATGAATATCTAGTATTTAACTCTTCCAACGGCAACTAACTAAGATATAATCAATCTAATTGGAATGTTGGTTATTCTGAGTTCCACGTGATTAAATGTCTTTTTGATGCCGGACTGGTACTGGTAAAAGTTAATGCTCACAAATTCACAATATATTAAAAAACGCGTCTCCACTGGACTACGGAACACTTCTGCCATATTTGCCAATCTATGGCCTAAGAAAAATTGCGCTCATACTTGATAATTGCTACGCCATTTTGCCGTGAGTTATCAGGATATTACCACCACAGTGGTATAGCCAGCATCTCCGTTCTGAACCAGGTTTAATGATTACCGTGGCCTGACGTGAGGAATATGGTCTTTTGACAGAGTCACATTCATGCGGAATTTAGCAAGGGTGTGGACGGTGAACGCTTGGTTTGCAATGTCCAGCGTTCTGACGTTCAAAGCAACTCTTACAATACCTCGTTGTGTATATAAAGTGCTAATCTTCTCCTTTCCATCGACAAGTTTTCAATAATTACTCTGGCTCGCAACCACATCATATTTTCAAGCCTTATGGTTTTACTACACCAAGATTGTATAAATTATCGCATGTACCATTGGTATAGAAGTATCATGCGTGTTATCATGCGCGTCAGACATAGCGACGCCGTATGAAAAAGACTTGAATTATTCGCCATAGTCACTTGGAAATAGAGTAGGTCCTCAGTAATCACCTGGATCTTTATCATGATGGGTTCAATCATATCAAAGACAAAGATAAAGGTAACAAAAAAAGATTAAGGAGGGAAATAAAAAAAGGAATAGAAAATCTGTTTAAAGTATTTTTTGCATATATTCATTATTTAATTTATAATTGATAAAAAGAAAAGAATTGTTTATACATTTTATTATTTCATTATTTATTTAATATATAATTGATTTTGACTCTTTGTTTTAGTGTTTTAAAATTTTTAAAATAAAAATTTAAAAGAACTTATAAATGTAAAAAGAAATTTGTTACATAAAAATTTGAACCGGAAAAACCGTAAAAAAATTGTAGTGAATAACAAAAAATATCCAATCGAGAAATTTTCGAAAATTTTTCTTTAGAATTTAGAATTTAGAGTTTAATTTAATTAATAAATTTGATATTTAACTAATATTTTAGAATTTAATAAATCTAGATAATATAATAATTTAGATAATTTTCAAAATAAAAATTATCCAAAGTTTATAAAATTTCTCCACTTTCTAAAGTATTGTATTTAAATATATTTAAATTGTTTTTTCTTCATTTTTAATTTAAATCGTTTTCTATTATCGAAAGGAAGTGATTGGAATGAATGTTTTTTTTGATCGTCCTTCCTTTATATTTCCATTTCGCGTTCTTAATTTCATTAGTTTAATTGGCTTAATTGGCTTTTCTACTCTAGTAAGATGCAACATCGTTTTGTTTACCTATGCTTTCTAGTTTATAATATTGATGGCTATTCATTTATTAACGTCAAAAATTCCTCGTGGAACTGTTGAAGCAGCATTAAATTATGAAGCGAGTATGAACAAGTAAAGATTTATTATTTATTATTCTACTAATAAAACTAACTTCAAGCTATTTTATTTAGAGCACTTGAAGATTTTTAATTAAATATTTTCATTTACTTGTCCTCCTTCCTTCCTTTTTAATTTGACTATGCGTAATGAAAATGAAATGTTTTTAATGCTGTGCTAGGTACAGATGTAGAAATTAATCAAAGGACTAAGTTTTTAACAATTTTTAATTTCAGTTCAGCTTTTGAATAATTTTTTTGCAGATTCAAAGTGTTGTCGAAAAGCGCTATTACGTGGGCAGTTCTGGCTTTTATGCTTTTTGGGGTTCGTGCTTTTAATTTCTATCTTTTATATTTCTTTTTAGTAAGGCCCTCGGGGCCAAATTTTTTTCTAATAATTGTTTCTCATAGAAAATCGAATCCCCTTTTTTCTTTTCTTCTAATTTTCTAGGTGTTTTGGTCGGACTGTGCTTTAGCAACATTGTTGATTGGTAAAATTTTGCCACTGGTTAATGTCCAACCTATAATACGGCCTCTCGTAATGCTTATACTATTGTTTAGTTGTTTAAACGCTCTTGTTTGTGCATTTTTTGCTGCTGAAAAATATTGGCAAAATTTTCGCTGCTACAATCAACTGGCTGAACAAAAAAGTAAATTAGTAAATTCTTCGGATAATATTTATATCTCCTTTTTTAACTATTAATTTCCATCGTCGAAATAATTTTTCTGATTTATTTGGATTATTTCTATCATTATTATTAAATATATATGTGAAAGATTAGAAAAGTTTGATTTAATTTCAGATATGATGAGTACTAATGCCAGAAGTGGTTATAAATTATCGATATCCTTTGCTAAAAATACAAAATTTTTATTTGACTGGTTATCAGCATTGCGCTTTGGCTCAGCAAAAAGGTTTGGTGATATATCTAAATCAGAAAGAAAATCAAACACTTCGCTCGTTTTGTTAGTTTAAAATTTTATAAAATCATTTTACATCTATTTTTTGTTATGTCTGAAACTCGATAAAGAAAAAATGGCGAACTAGTTTATAATAGTGTCTATGAATTTTTTATTTTTAATTTGTACTGCCTTCCAATGCTGAGGTTCTCCGCAGGAGGACCTATCTAAAAATCCGGATGTGTATTCACCTTTACTTCTAAAGGTCTTCTTGGCATGTTTGTCCAGTGCGACGAGTCAGCGAGTCTAACTAATAATGGTGAAGGCTTAAGGAATTTACAGTGGTTAAAACTCATTGAAATTGATTTTTTTAAAGTATTATTTAATTATTATTAATATTTTTAGTACTCCATATCGAAGTGCAGAAATACGTGAAGGTCTTATGGAATCTCTAAAAGCAAAAGTTGGTTTTCCTAAATCTTCGTCCAGTCGCCCTATAAATTCCATCCAAACCTCAAAACAAGTCCAGGATTTTTTGGATAAGAGGTATGTATTTATGCTTATCAAGTTTTATTAAGTTCCACTGATATACTATGTGTAGCGTTTCGTTACATTTATAAAATAATATTTATCCATATCATATAAATGATTTCAATTCATTTAATTATTGGTGCGGTGTATGTTGTTTGTTGTTGTGTTGATTCTTGCTTATGCTTCTTTATACTTATTCAGATAATTTTGAATCTTTTCTTTGTATTTAATTTGTGATGGAAATATTATTAATGATTATTCGCTAATAAGGTGAATCAGAAATGTTTCAATATAATTTTTTGTGAATATATTCGCCCAATGTATTACAGATGTTGCTTTATGTTATAGCTCTTTTTTGGATGCATCAGTTATTAATTGTTCGTCACCTAGCAGCAATCGATTTAGTCATTCCGGAAGTTTTCCACAGTTACAGTTCAACCCATCATCTACAGGAAGTTCTACATACCAACTTGGTATTTCGATGAGTGAGGATGATCAAGCAAAAGCTTCAAATGATGAAAACGGGGTTGTTTCACTTGTTACAGGTACCATTGTTATTACTTTAAAGAAATGTTTTAAAAAAACTAAATTCTTCAAACTCTTGTTATCTTGCTTTAGGTAGCAGAATTAAATTTACAAGTTCACGTGTCTCGTTATCTCCAATTCCTCTTAACCTTGTTGATGTGCCATTAGATGTTACTGGAGGTTCACCAGTTGATAAAAATATTTCGAATGGAGCGTCCAATATAAACGATGATAAAGAAGATAATATATCATTTCGTGTAGCCCATAATGCTTCTCGGAATATTGCTAAAAAATCGGGTATATTTATTTTGTGAATTGAAAGAAATTTGTTTTGATGTATAAATAATGTATATGTGACGTGATTTTTCTTTTCTATTTAAATTATTTTTGTTTCAGTTTCTTCAACTCCACCTACCCTTCAACGATCAAATAGTATTGAACGTCGAAAAGCTATGAGTCCGAGGACGCGTCATTTAGCCAATTTGTCCGATAGCCCTTTTGCTGCACTGCTTTCTGACACATCTCCTGAGACAAATTTTTCTACATTCACTCGTCAAATCCCGCTCACATCAGATGAAATTATGAGCCAGTTAGTTATCTTACCTATGTTTTTATCTAATATTTTTGATTTAGAATTCTTTGATTTTTGGTAGAATTCTAATTCTTCTCTTAATTCTTTTAATAATGATAATTAATATTCATTCATTCAAGACAAATTATAATTAAAGATATAAGATAGATGCCAAACGTTTTGCGATTGGTGAGCGATATCTTAGAATATGGATCTCGCAAACCATACTTTGTCCTCTTGTTTCATCTATTGATGATGTTAATCAAATTCTTTCTAAGGTTTGATTATTTTTTTGAATATGTTATATAACTTGATTATATATATATATTTTATTTATATATATATATATATATATATTTATATTTTTTTATTAATTGGATTAGCTATATTTTTGAATATGTTATATAACTTGATTATATATATATATATTTTATTTATATATATTTATTTATATTTTTTTATTAATTGGATTAGCTATATTAGAATAAATGTTGGAACCAGAATCAATATTTTATTGCTTTCATTTTACAGGAATATGCCCATTCGCATTTGAAGATCGGTCAGTCATCGATCGATGCTCTAGAATCAGCAGTTTCTTCGAAAGTTGATCTGTTGAGTACATCTTTGCCTTATATTATTCCTTACCTAAAAGTACACGAGAAGCAAGCCTATGTCGTAGAACGCGCTCGAACTCTTGCTAAAGACTCTTGTATGAAAGAATATTATTGGAATTCCGGTGGAGACGAACCATTAGAGTTTGTGAAAAATGGTAAGCAATAGAATATATTGAAAGCAAGACTCATTTTTTTTTATTTCTATATTTATATTTCTTTTCTTTTCTATATTTAATCATATACTCTTCATAGTTTTTTTATTTTTGATTATTCTTTTATTTTATTTTGTTTGTCGTAAGTTTTTAAATTCATTTTATTTAATTTCGTATTATTTGCTCTTTATTTATAATTCTTAATATTCACAGTGATACAGCGATGATTTTTATTCTTAATATTCACGCAAAATAGAAATTGTTTCTATTTTATTTATTTCTTTTATTTACTGTTTTTACCATTTTTTCTAGTTTTTTTATTTCAAAGATTTAATTTTTTTAAAATAATGATTAACGGTATTAAAATAATAGCAAATAAATATTTTCTTCAGGAGGATTCAAGGCGTATAATCCTACATACGGACCGTGGGGTGAACATTTACCTACGGATGCTGCCTTAATTTGGTCGTGGTTTTGTGTATATTTTGATACAAAGTGGGTATTCTTTGCGTAAGAAAGTTTATGAATATTGTTTAATTTATTTGTGCATAAAAACATGTATTTGTGCTTTAAACAATTTTTTCGAAAACTTTTGATCTTTTATTTTTAGATTGTCTGTTCACCCATTGGCGGAGAATCTTCAAGGGCCCTTTTCTTCTATTTATTTCCTCAAAAAGCCTTTTAGGCCTTCAGCTATCCAGTGTTCAAAGGACTCGTTCTATATACATCAAGTAAATTTCATCACCAACATTTGCTTGGTTGAATTTTGTTGAATTTTAATTTTTTTTGTTATAATTTTATAAGATGTGGGATGAATTGGTCTAAATTCATGAGTATTTCGTAAATTTTATGTTTTTATTTTTTTAATGATTTTTTAATGATTTATTTATTATTTGTAGAATAACGTGCATCCCCCTCATTTTGAATTAGTTATTCGTGGTGGTCGCGAGCGTTTTGAAGTTGGGCGTGGTCCGAGAAATCTTTGGCGAATTATTCTTCTTTTCATTCAGCATGCAAGGCTTTTCAATAATAACTGTTTTGGGAATGTGCGTCTTGATGAAACTGGTGCCAATATTTCATGGGTTCTTGACTAAAATAATGATCTATTCATTTTGTGATTGCCTACATCATTTATACCTACACCTGGTGATTCGTCATCGATAGAGCTTTATCATGTTCTTCTGCGATTAAAAATTTCATTTGATTATTGTTAATTATGTTGTTAAATTTATAATGAAATCATGATGTTCTCTTTTTCTTCCCCCCTCCCCCCCCCCCCCCCCACTATATCATGTTGATTCCTCTGCCATAGTAAGTTGCATATATGAGTTGTTTTTAAATTTATTTGTATGAAATTGAATTATCTGAGGAAAATGCTTTATAAACATTTTTTATTGATCTCACATTAAAGAATAAATTTTTTATGGTATTTTCGGAAGAAAGTGGTTAAAATTTGCTTATTAATAGAAATTGTAAAATATTTTCATTTTATTCATTCATTTATAATATTATATTATTTTTACATAAATAAATTAATTCTTGATATTTTTGTAAGGTATATATGAAAGTATGAAAGAAATGCAATGTTCCGATAAAAAAAATCATTGGTAAAAATGCATAAATAAGTTAAATTATCTGTTTCCTTTTAGGCGGTTCAATTTTGTATGAAATTTCCATAAGTCGCCTCTGGTTGTCAATCACTTTGAGGTTCCTGAAAAATCTGCATCATTAGATTTATAATGAATGGATTGTCTGTAGGGAAACTGATGGAGAAAAAGGTGTAAAAGTGGAAATTAGTAAGTTTTGTTGATGGTAACGCATGTGTACCTCATAAGATTTCTTGTCTCGTAAATCTTTTTGGAATCGAATGGAGCAACTGAAAAAATTTGATTTATATAAAATATGAAAATAAAAAATATATTTCGCCTCTTCTGGACCGTCGATGTTGGCATTCTATTTCTGTCATGAATAAGTGTCTCCGGATGCTAGCAATTCACCTATGCTTCGCCAAATGATTCATGGCTGAATTTGTCTGATCCGAGAAGACAGTGGGGTGCTTGTAACCAAAAATGGTAAATGCTTTAAGAAAGAAATTAAAGGGAATGGTGTGGATAAAGATAAGAATATAAGAAAAATATAAGAAAAGATAAGAAACTTTTACTTGGATGTTTGCATTTTCGGAAAGATCTTAACACACTTGAAATCATCCGCTGAAAAATATATATAAAAAACAGAAAAAAGAAAAAAGTATATAAAAAATTGAAGTTGCAGATAATTTTTAGTTATTGTAATGCTTCGGATAAGAAAAGTTTGAAAATAAGTCAAATGAAACAGACCATTTTTTCAAAATTAACTAATCCACCGAAATAAGTTTTATTGCCTTCATGTGTGAAAGTAAGGTCCTTGAGCAACAATGGCACAAAGGGTACGATTGGAGTATTCATTTTTCTTACAAGCATTCGATAGGCTCGATGATTACGCGATGGATCTAATAATCCTTCGAATTCAGCATACTGACGGCGCATTTTTGACGGTAAACGCTGGAAAAGATTATTGAATGAGATAATAAGATTAAAAAAATGATAAAACAAAAAATGATAAACATGATCTTAAAAAAATGGACCATCAATCTCGACCAGAAATTAGCAATAGGTCGTGGATCATCTTTCTTGTCACGTAACTTTCAATTAAATTTCTACATATCAAATTCTATTCTTAGGCTCAAAAGATTTGGTCGAGAAGAGAATTTAATAATTTGAACCAAAATAATTTAAAAATTCCACAATTAATAAAGAATACATTCCAAATATATGCGATTCGGCTAACTGCAATGTTGCTGAGTCCAAGAGTGATTGCAAAAAATGATAACAAATCCCGATTTTCCTTAGCGCTGTAGATTTCAAATATTAATGTTTGTATGTAATTAAAATTAAACTAGATGCTATAAAATAATATTCGTAAGAACCATTATTTTGAGATTAATTCCTCTTAGTACCACTTCAAGAAAAAATATGAGAAAATATTAGAAACAAGCAAAATACAAAAATCATTTATTATAAAGTATAAGAACTGAGTGGCTATTTTGATGAATTTTTTTAGCAGCGCCACTCGTTTCGATTGACTTTTCGCGAGCAATATTTCAGTTGATGACCAGTGCTGAACCTCGTTAAACCGACGTATCAGCAAGTCCAGGTTTGAAGGTATACAGCTGGGAAATTGATCTCGACCGAAAACCTGAATTTTTCATAAAAATACAGGATCGAAGCGACGAAATAAATATCTCAATAATTTTACTGATCAAAAATAATAAAGAAATAAAATAATAAAAAAAATAAAGTCAATAAATTTTATGAGATCTTTTTTTTGTTAATTCGTGGAAAAATTTTTAAATGATTGTTAGAAAAAATAACCTGTGTAACTAGTTCAACTTCATCCGTAGCTTCAAAAAGTTGGAAGTGAAATATGGATAACTGTTGAGCTATATCAACACTACTCATATATTCCAACATTTGGGAATGAGCGCTGTCAACTGGACCATCTTGCTGAACCACTGGTGTCTGAATTTTATGCTTAAAACTATTATTAAATTTATCATTAAAGAAATATCATCGCCAAAGTTATAGAAAATGAGGTCCGAAAAATTTATCCAAAGATATCATAGTTTACAAAAAGCAAACAAATTAAACCGCTAACCAATGTATTAACTTCAGCTCCATAAGCAACATATAAGCGACTATTCAACGATAACATTGTTGGGATACTTATGTCAGTTGGAGAAAATATAATACGTTCTGTAAGACGGAACTGTTCATAGTGAAATCTTATAAAAATTAATGAAAAGAAAAATATGTAGAAAAATAAACAAAAAGTAATTATCCAGGATTAACCAGCAACTTTTAATTCCAACCTCCACTACTTCTTACTTCAACCAGTTGTAGATCTACATTCGTACCACCATAATGAGTTTTCATCTTTGTTAGCTCACAGATTTCCGCACTAGTTTTGTCAAGCCTAATATTTATTGTAAATGAGCTGGTATCTGGTAAATGAATTATTTGATTACCTGAAAATGAAAAAAAATTTTGTAGATATTTATATCATATAGAAATATTTTTTTATATCAAATGATATTCGAAATGATATAATTTCATTTTCGAAAAAAGCTGAGTTCTATACTATTAGTCCATTAGTCTATTAGTCAAAATTCAAACTTTTGGCTTAATACCTACATATTATTATGGCTTTTTTTGAAGAGCCCTCACAATTACTGGTTAAACTCGCTCCACTGGCTTATCACACGGGACAAATATGCCAGGGAATCCTTTGGCGATAGAAGTCTTCTTCTTCTTTTAACAATTCTCACCATTAATGTTTAGGCTAGTTTCCCTGGCTACAAGGGTAAGATCTCCAAGCCATTTGATCATCGACATTAATAGAAGCAATTCTTTTTTCCATTGTCTAAGTACATATTTTGCTGGCTCACCTAGACGTTTAAAATCTTTCCTGGCCGCATCATTCCAGGTCTTGATTGGCCCACCTCGCTTTTGACATCATCCATCACACGGTTTAGCAAGTAACGAAATATGCGACAACTCTTCTGGTCGACCACGGAGAATGTGTCCTAACGCACCACCGAAAACGACGCTCTGTGATAACATTATTTATGCAAATGGAATTTGAACGAAGGTGGATGCGATGTAGTGAGATTTTATCCACTCTGCGAACCCGTAATATGTACCTTAGACAAGAGTGGTCAAAGGCAGATAACTTCTTAATATCCTCCACTCTCATTGGCCATGTCTCAGAACCATATAATATCGAACGGATCACGGCAATATAGATGCGGACTTTCGTTTTAATGGTGATTTCACGACGGCTCCATAAGCGCTTCGTCAACCGGAAGCATTTCTAGCTGCCGTGATCCGGGCTACAATACCATCTTTTGCTGGGCCATTTGATATTAGTGTGGACCCAAGGTAACCCAAGGTATTTGAAATCGAAAATTTTCTCGACCGGCAATTGACAAAAAGAGGCATTTTATCAGCACCTTGTACATAAGACGAAAACTTTCGTTTTGTATACATTGACCCTGAATCCGATTCTTGCTGCGGTTTCTGACACGTTGTTTAGCATTATTTGCATTTCATCATAACTATAAGCAAAAAGGACTACATTATCAGCGTATTCAAGATCTATGATACGATGCTCTGGACTAATTCGGACGCCTCTTGAGTGACGACAAACGATGTCCATTACCCAGTCTATCGCATAGTTGAATATTGTGGGGGAAAGGACGCACCCCTGAAGGACACCAGTTCTCATTTCGAAGAAATCTGTCAGCTCCCCATATATACAGACTTGCGCCGACATGCGCTCATAAAATGTCTTTATGAGCCTAATGATTTCTCTGAAACACCGTTACGTTCTATCACCCTCCAAAGTGCCGCTCTATCAATTGAATCAGTCGCAAAAGTAGATGAAACACGTGACAGTGGGTTGCAAATATTTGAAGCGATGTTCCAACACCCTTCTTAACGTGAATATCTGGTCAGCACAACCTCGCCCCGGTCTGAATCCCGCTTGATTAGGGCGCATCCAGGTGGTAGAAATATAGACGAGTCGTCAGTATCACCCAGATTGTTAGACACTTCTACTGGGAAAAATAAAACCTCAGCATCGGCGTTTCGTATTGAGCAACAACTCAGTGAGCCATCTTGTCCCTCCACTACTTCTTACTTCAACCAGTTGTAGATCGATATTTGTATCACCATAATGAGTTTTCATATATGATATAACTTTATTTTTTTTATAGTCGGAATTATAGTCAAAATTATAGTAAAACACCACTTAAACAAGTGCAAATATTAGATCGAGACATTAACTTTCTTTTTCTTAAGCATCACACTAGGTGCAAATAGAAAAAATAATAAATAGCAGAAATAAATAGGAAAATTACAAGTGTCGAAAGGAAGAACAGGATTTGGTGCAGGCGCTTTTATAGAATAAACTCCACAGTCGAGTACCACGACGGAGTGTCGATTAAGAATCTGCATAGAATTCTCACGAAGTTGTCTAATATATGCCATTTTCTCTAAGATTGAATACATTTCAGGAATCTGTCGACTATCCTCCAAAACACAACAATATAATTCCTGAATATTTTTGGATCCTTTATAGAGGATGTTATTTTCACAGTTCAGACTAAAATTTCATGCATATTCAAGAATTTTGCTCCAAGAATTTTGCTAATGTGAATCATCGAGTTTTTGATTGAAATTAATTAATAATCAACAAAAGAAAAAAAAATAACCTCTACGAAGCTATTGGACACGGGATTCAGAAAAAATCGTTGACCTATGGTCCTTATCCAAATTGCAAGAAAGATAACCACTCGTCGTTTTATAGCAAACTTCTGGCCGCGATCATCCAAAATATAGAACTCATCAATACGCGCCTATGCATAAGAAAATAGACGATTTTTATAATTTTAACACAAATACCAAAGTGCACTATATTTCAGGGACAAGAATTACCGTTGATCCTTGCATATAGTAGTTTTTAAGATAATTGCACAAAATATTTTCAGGCATATATATGCTATGAGTCAATATAAATTCTTCCAAAAAAGTGTCTAAAGTCATATTATCTTCATATGCATCAATACGTGTTTCCAATAAATATTCCACAATTTTTTCTGGAAGACCAGCCATTACCGAATATCTAAAAATAGAATTAAGTCCTAAAATTTTAAAAGAATGGCACATAATCAAACAAGTTAATGAAATTCACCGAAATTGTTGTCTTGATGTCTCTAATTCCTCACAATATGGATCCACGGCAAGACTATATGGCTTGTCAATCTTTTCTAGCACAAGTACATCTTGACCGTGCTCTTTTAGCCGAACTGTATTCGCTTCGACATCTCTTAAGATCCTAAAAGCAAAAAACATTATGTTTCCCTTTTTCGTTATCTCATCAACTTTGGATCTAAAAAAAATGAAATTTTCGATGAAGTAAATATGAGGAATTAAACGAATTATTAACAAATTTTTAAAAATTTAATAATAATTTGATTATTAACAAATACACCACTTTTACCTATTGAAATCGACCTTGTCAACTCGAAGAAATTGTGATTTATCCTCTCTAAGGGTGACTGTGGCGGCTCGAGGTGCATCATTAACGAGAGCCAATTTGCCAAAGTCATCGCCCTCTCGTAACGTGCATACAATACCCTAAATGCTCGTTTATTATCAATCGACCTCGTATGCTATGCCGATAATTATAAGTCTCCACGTTATGTTAAGAAAAAAGTTTTGAATTTAAAGTAATTAATTGTAAATGGGATTGAAATCTTTTTAATAACGAACATCGAGAATCTAATTTTAACGGTTACATTGCTTCCTTTTTTGCTTTTCTATTTTCTGTTTAATTGTCCAAGTTTTTTTTTTTATTATTTTTCAATATTTTGTGATTTTCTGCGTTGTTTTTCTTAATATAGGTTATTATTCAAGCGCTGCTTCTCCAATATGGCTATATTCTTCATTATTTAAATAAATAAATGGTAGATAAATAGATAAATATTTGTTGTTATAATGGTGGGAAGAATAATTACCTTTCCATAAACGCTGACATGCACAGAGCCTTTGAGAATGATATACCAACAGTTTCCTTCATCACCTTGACGAAAAAGAACAGTTCCAGCATGTTGGTGCTGTTCGAAAAAAGCTATACTGGCTAATTCCCTTTTCACCATCGTACTTAGATGTGCCAAGGCTTTCACATGCAACAGTTCATCGTATACTAATTCTAATTCTTCTGCAGTCCTTTCGTTAGATCTGTAATCAGTTCATTAATACCATAATTAAGCTGAAGAAATATATCTTTCAGAAATATATTTTTGATGAAATATCAAGAATATCAAAGAAAAAAAAAATACAAAAAAAAAGAAAACATCTAAGAATATAATAAAATAAAATAAAATATAATAAAATATATCTAATAATCTCTAATGAGGAAAGGATTTTAAACAATTTTCTCGATTTCCAACGGACAAACAATTTCGGACAACAAATGAAAAAATTAAATATCTTTATAAAAAAGTAGGGAAAAATTTACGATTTACTAAGGATTGTTCGAAAAAGTGCATCTGGACCAACAGTACTTAAAAAAAAAATTGCCGATTTCAAATCGTTAAGATTTGTTTGCGTTTCTAAATCCGTAGTTTCATTTCCGCTCCTATCTCGCGTCCTGGAAAGAAACCAATTTAAACTATTTTTAACTTTCCAGCTTAAATTACTTAAATTGGTTTAATAAAAGAAAATTATAAGTTACCTAGACCTAATTTATCAGATTTTTTGATAAAAGAACAAAAAAATGTGGTCATTTAATGAAAATTTTACTTGTTAATTTTTATTAAATATATTTAATTAAAAACTATTAGCATTTATCATAAATTTCAATTAAAAACCAAAAAATTTTAATTTAAAACAAAAAGAAATTTTCATCAATTTTTAAAGAACATTTCTTTAGCAATTTTATACAATGATAAGTTCAAATGTATCATTTTAAACCATAATTCCAAGATAAAAAATCCAAAAATTACTTGAACGAATCCAGTTCTTCATTCATTGCCCAGCGATAATATATATGCTTATCAACAAATTGCAATTCATTATTCACTAAAATAATATAGACAAAAAAAATTTAAGGATTTATTTCAGTATTTCTTTATTTTTTTAAGGATATCATCCAGATGGTTCTTTTTTTTATACAGAAATTTGATTTATGATGAATATTATAGGTAACAAAAGTATTATTCTATTATTTGTGCTCATTAGTCAAGCTGAAATTGTTTAGATCGAAGTTGACTGTTTTAATAATTCTTTAACTCAACTGTATTGTATTCTACTCAACAATCTTCTCGATAATTATTATATAATGAGCCATGTTCTCACCATGGTTAATGATTCCATTTTCTAAAAGAACTTGCCACATGCCTACAACTTGAAGACGAGTTAGCGGAGTTGCCATTTCATTCAAAATTTCTGTTGAAAGTTGACTTAGCCAATTAACCAATTCTGTACCGACCATACACATTGGATAAATCTGAAAATTTCGTTTTTTCTCTGACTGCCCTGCAAAAATTATGAAAAAATAAATTTGATCCAGAAATGTAATATCACTCATTCACCTAATTCCACTTTAATCTAATCACATGAAAATATGAGAAATAATAATGGAATGTGATAAATAATAATAATAGTATACTATGGTAATTCAAGAACTATTCCTACTCTTAGCTCCTATACATTATTTAATTAATGGTGTAATTCGAAGCCTTAAATCGGGAAAACTATTTACTTGCAAATGGGCCTTGCGATCTCTTATAAGATATGGTGCCCGAGTTTGCATCACTCGTTTTATAATTAAGCCAACTTCAGTTATTCTCGACTCCAAAGACTGAAATTTGTAAAAATTGCTCAAAAGATGTTCAAATAGGACGGAATCCAATAATAGAGAAAAATAGCTAATTTTTCATGGAAAAATTGTTTATATAAAAGAATTTTTTCACTAAACGATAAGTGTGGCTCAAAAATAATTTAATAAAAAGTAATATCGCACCGCTGAGCTTGCAATTTCATAAAGGCTGGAAGGCAAATGCCAATGAGAATAAGCTTCATCATCAACGACTCCATCATCATCTTCCATCGAGCACTGTCGATGGAATCGTGATGAATGGTTACTTAATTCAGTACACTGCTGTCGCATATCAGTAAAATTATACATATTTCCACCATCTATTAAAAATTAATTTAATAATTAATAAATATATAAATGACAAATATAAATATTTATAAATATACAAAAATAAAAACATAAATATTTTTACTATAAAATATTTATATAACTAAATAAATATATTTTAATAAAACACAAATCATGATTATAAAAGAATTTAGTACAAAATTGCAAAAAATTTTTTAAAATAATTTTTTAATATTCAAAAATAATGTTTTTCAAGTATTATTTTCCAAATATTGATAAACTAATACTTAAAACTATTTTTAGACTCTAAGCTATTTCTGGTTTGGCTGGCTCTGCTGAAGAACTCTTCGCTGCAATCAATAGAAAGCAGTTATGAAGCATCACCAATATTTCATTAATAATGGCAGTTTACTTCTGTCAAGGCAAATTGAAGAAATTTTATTGTCATCAGAGGATATTGCTTCCATTTCTCCAGTAATTTTCTTCCACTGACAGAAGTAAACTTGTCAAAAAATTCGAGTAATGCTACTTCTTTTCTATCTCCAAGTAATTCTATGGTAAAATTATCTCATTCCTTAAACAGCCAATTGAAACAGATTGAGAATGCTAATCATTTACTTATATACTTTCTTAATAACTGATGCCAGAAAAGAAAATTTTAATAAAGAATCGGACTCTTCTTCTAATATCTCTCACCATTACTGGTTAACTGGCTCCGCTGGCCACAAGGGTAAAATATTCAAAGTTCGCACTCTGATGCCATCATCGACAGTAATAACTGCTGTTCCTGGTCCACCTATACGTTCAAAATTTTTTTTGACTGTATCAGTTTTGATTGGTGCACCTTATTTTTGACGCCATCCATCACAAATAATATATGTGATGGATATGTTTAGCGAATAATATATGCCAACTCCAATAATATATGTGCTCGACGAAGAACGCGCATCTAGCGAAGATGAAACTCCATGAGGATATTTGAGCGATGGTGTGAAATTTTATCTGTTCGGTGAACCCATAAAATGTATCTGAGTAGTCAAAGGTAGATAATTTCTTAATATTCTCTACGTTCATTGGCCAAATCTATCTCGCAATGCATGTAGCAAGAGAGAGCGAACTACTAGCTACATAAGCGTCTATATAGACCTTTCGTCTTTATGGTGATTTCGCGACGGTTCTATAAAGGTTTTGCGGACTGGAAGGACGCATTTTTAGCTATCGTCATCTATGTAGCAATTTCATCTTTTGCTTAACGACCCGGTATAAGAGTGGATCCACGGTATTAAAATCAGGCATTTTCAGCTTTTATCAGCTTATAGCACATAAACGAAAAGATTTTCGTTTTATTTGTATTATCCGATTCTCGTTGCAATTGTTGACAAAGAATCGGAATCGAAAATAAAACTTATGAAGAAGCATTTTTTTTCTCACTGATAATTTCTAAGATAAATTTCAAATAAAAATCTGAAATGTAATTTGAAAGATAATTTTAATACGTTAAAATATTATTGATTACAATAAATTTAATAGATTACAATAAAAATAAAAATTTTTTCTAAATGAAGGAAAAAACGAAAAATGATTTTGGTGAAAAGATTAAAAGATAAACAACAGTTGTTGAAGAAAAACGAATTTCGAAAAAAAAATTTTTTTGGGAAATCCTCAAGAAATTAATAAAAATTTTGCATGATTTCCTCGTTTATCAGATGTTTTCAACAAATTCTTCGACATTTTAAAAAGAGTATTGAAAGACTAACTGCATGCGCTTGCTCAAAATATATTTAAACAGGATTATTTTAAACCATGATAATTTTTCACGCAGTTCATTAATATTATTTCACGTGTTCTTTCATAATACAATGTTTCTACGTTTCTCTACAAAATTAAATTGCTTTAGCCCACTGCTTTTTTCTTCTAATTTTCTTACCAAAATTAAATAGCATATAGTACAAAAGATTAAAAGTTCAAAACTTGAATGCCTAGAAATTAGATAAAAAACCCACGAGTTTTACACTACAGGTCTAACACGTTTTATATATTCTACCAACAAATACCATTAAATAAATAAAGGATAATAACAATGATAACAATAATAATTATAATAATAATTATAATAGTTAATAATAATAAATAATAATAATTAATAATTATAATAATTATAATAATAATTAGTAATAATAACTAATAATAATTAGTAATAATAATTAATAACAACAATAATAATAATAGTGGTAACAATAATAATATAATAAATATAACATAAATTGTTGCATAAAGAAAAATCAAATTTCAAATATACCAAAATCATCGCCAACAAGATCTTGCATGATTAATAAATATGGTTGTAAGTGGTCAGCGTGTTTCTGAAACTAATCAGATTTCAGAAAATTATATTGAAAAAAACACGGAATGAACAGTAATCCTTGCCTTTTTGCGAGAGAACCTCAAAAATAACTGAAATATACGTTACAAATATGAAAAATGGCTTGATTCTATTTATATTTTCATATAAATCCCAAGCGTATATAAAACTGTGAATTCGTTTAAGGAAAATTATATTTTTAAAAATTGACTTTTAAAAAACTTTCAAAATTGTTGTAAAGCTGGGAGAAATAAACATATTCTGCGAATTGTGGGACTGATTCAAAATAGTTTTCTTGAGACTCAAGGCTGATAAGCATTACGAATTGTTGTAAAGCTTTGTACAAATGAAAAAAAGTGAATTAAATTGAAAGATAACAGTTTAGACCATACGTTGCCAATGTGGGCTGCCAGTACTCCCACCCCGTCCCTTCCTCCCAGAGAGCGTTAAATTTTATACCTTATTGGCTTTTTATTCATGCTTTTAATCTCATTATTTTTGTTGCGAAAGGGCATTGTTAATTAAAGTTGACAATGCTCCTTCTCTTAAAAGCTTATAGACTTTTTGTATGAAAATAATGAAATTTCTGGCTTCAGATGGATAATTTATTGATATAAATTGGCGCCTAGGCTATTCTCCAACAGCTTCTTTGCAACTTTTACATTTGGAAGCCGAATGGTCCAAATTATTAATTAAAGCTTTTGCTTCATTTTTTTAAATTTTTGGCACCTTTTATCTATCTATTTTTGACTTTTGCAGGGTTTAAACCATAAAAGCTCGATTTCCGAATAATCTACCAACCGATTTCCAAATCATCAAAAAATCAGAAAATGGTTGTGCTATATTTAGTTAGGTTAAATGGCGATGGAATAAGTATTTTGGTTCATTGATTAATTTACTATAACTTTTACTATAAAATAAATGATTGTTGAATTGCTCACAATCCCGCTATATTATTAATAATAATGATTGTAGATAGAGCTATTGCTGGCTTGAAATAGTGTAGCGAGTTATTGTTTAAATCAAACTCGACTTTGCGGACCAAAGGGAAGTGTAACGAAAAGCATTACGAATTGCTAATATAAAGACTAAGGAACCGAATACATCATCAGTATTGCTATTGTTTGGGAGAAATAAACATATTCTGCGAATTGTGGGACTGATTCAAAATAGTTTTCTTGAGGCTCAAGGCTGATGAGGAGGAGAATAGAGGAAAAGGAGTGCGAATGGAAATGAGGATTAAATTTGGAATTTTTATCAGCCATTTCGGAGCATTATTTTGAGGTTTTTTTATATGCAGAACATGTCTAGAGATTTTGGATTTTTAGAGGTAAATATGTTAGCAATGCGCTTGACTTACCAAAAAATATTCATGATGTATGCTGCATGGACTAAATAATCATTTGAAAATAAAAGAGCTCAAGCTGATAAAATAAAATTTATCATAGTTCCAAACACTCAGGATCAATTTTTAAAACGACAACGTGTTTTCGTTAAAATGTTTTCAAATGCATCCAAAGAAGAAAATGATGGGTTGTCTACCTCTTATATTTCTTTAATTATCATTATCATTAATTATCATTGAACACTATTTGATACTACTGAACCACGCACACTATTTTGCGCAAACTTTCATTTGATATTATCAAGAAAATTTTCCTTTGAGCAAAATTATAGTGCGGAAACGAATTAATAAAATGAAATGGCGCTGAATGAATTCCACTGTGCGAGAACCCATATATATATATATATATATATATATCTAAATTGAATTTACTTTAACAGACGATGTCGCTATCGTGAATTCATTTGAAAAATTGGTGCTGGTGCCAGATGTACCTCGCTATGCATTATGTGGTTGGTTCATCAGCATCATTGGCTTGCAACGAATCTCACTTATCGCTTAATATTTAATTATAGTTATAGCAGCTAACATCAAAAGCAATACTCGCAGCGATAAATTATTTAGACAATTATTTAGTGCCTTTTTTTAAAGAGTCGTCACCATTACTGGTTTGTCGCTTTGGGCGATATGCCAGGGAATCCCTTGGCGATAGAAATACAGGTGAGTCGCCAGGCAAGTGAGTTGTATAGGAAACGGCGATTATTAATACTATAGCCGTTTATGGAAATATGGCTCCTGTTTGAACCAACTCTGTAACTTTTGCTTTTGTCTTCCCTATATCTTTACCCTTACCAGTTCTAGAGTTTTTTGAAAAAAAAGGTAATTTGCTGTGGAATGATTTACCGAAATTTCAGAACGACATAATTTTTATAATTTATAAGTCCAACATAAAGAAGAATTTTTCATATTTTCCAATTCTCCCTCGGTAGAAAAAAAATATTCTAATTTACTGTCAGCACTTAGAGGCACTTTAGGATGGTTTCAACACATCCTTAACATGAAAATCTCTAGCTGGATTTTACAACGTTTTCAAAAACTGAGAAATAGAATTAGAACTAGAAATAGAAATAGAATAGAATTAATATTAAGCGATAAATTAATCGAATTTGTAAGATTTGTAAAATTTTGTGTATATCATTGGATATTTCTAATTGTAATTGTAGAGATTCACTCCGTACTGTGTGGTGTAAGCTGTGTAAAAAAATTTTTTATTTTCTTTCTTTTATCGTATTACACGTGAAGTTACAAATATAT